TTCTGGAAGGTGTTCGGTAGGGTAGTGGTGGGTTCTGGAAGGTGTACGGTAGGGTAGTGGTGGGTTCTGGAAGGTGTACGGTAGGGTAGTGGTGGGTTCTGGAAGGTGTACGGTAGGGTAGTGGTGGGTTCTGGAAGGTGTACGGTAGGGTAGTGGTGGGTTGTGGAAGGTGCACGGTAGGGTAGTGGTGGGTTCTGGAAGGTGCACGGTAGGGTAGTGGTGGTTCTGGAAGGTGTACAGTAGGGTAGTGGTGGTTCTGGAAGGTGTACGGTAGGGTAGTGGTGGGTTCCGGAAGGTGCACGGTAGGGTAGTGGTGGGTTCTGGAAGGTGCACGGTAGGGTAGTGGTGGTTCTGGAAGGTGTACAGTAGGGTAGTGGTGTTTCTGGAAGGTGCACGGTAGGGTAGTGGTGTTTCTGGAAGGTGTACGGTAGGGTAGTGGTGTTTCTGGAAGGTGTACAGTAGGGTGGTGGTGGGTCTGGGTTATGTATGGTAGGGTAGTGGTTCTGGAAGGTGTATGGTGTATAATAGTGGTTCTGGGTGGCGTATGGTAGGGTAGGAGTAGGTCTAGATGGTGAACGGTATGTATAGTAGTGGGTCTGGGTTATGTATGGTAGGGTAGGGGTAGGCCTGGATGGTGTACGGTATGTATAGTAGTGAGTCTGGGTTATGTATGGGAGGGTAGAGTTTGGTCTAGATGGAGTACGGTATGTATAGTAGTGTGTCTGGGTTATGTATGGTAGGGTAATTTGGTCTGGATGGTGTACGGTATGTATAGTAGTGGGTCTGGGTTGTTTATTGTAGGGCAGCGGTGGGTCTAGATGGTGTACAGTATGTATAGTAGTGGGTCTGAGTGGTGTACGGTATCTGTAGGGATGAGCCTAGGTGGTTTAGGCTGTATCTTTAGTGGTATGTTCGGGTGACGTGCGGCCCATGTCCTTATGGTGCAGTCTCTTACCAGTGACGGGTCTTTGACGATGTTGTGCCACAGTCGACAGGTGCAGCTAACGCTCAACAGATCACAGTAGGACAGGTTGGAAAAGATCTGCAGCAGCACGTCAAAGCCGACATGCAACTTCTGTATGAAGCACTCCGCCGGGTTGATGCCGGCATTCCGCGCCTTTGCGACGCGCACTACAGACGGCACCCCGATCTTCGCCACCTTGCCGTTATTCCGCGCGTTCGGCGCAATGCTAACAACTGTCTTCGTCGCCGGTCGCGTCCCGACAGACTGCGTCGTCTGCAGGACGAATCGGGATGCCGGCGCGGTCCACGCGGGAGGCCCGCCGGCGCCACCTCCCGGCTGAATGATGTACATGCCCTGCGGCAGCAGCGATGTGCCGGTGCGCACGACGTAGTTCTGGTTGCCAGTGACGACCACCTTCGGTTGCGGGGCACCTGGCACGGCCATCGTGGGCCGCTGCGTCGATGCGAGCAGTGGCGGCGTGTTCGCAGGGAGAAGTCGAGGCTGACCTGTCGTTGCCGCTGTTAACCGCGGTGGCCGCGTCGCCGCGCACATAACCTGGCTGCTCACCGGGACGACTTTCGTCGGAGCTCCCATCGCGGGAACTAGATTGTCTTCAGTCGCCGAAACCGCCTGCTGCCGAACTGCAGCGGTGGGCAGGATCTGAACGTTGCTTGTCGACATCATGCTCTGTCTCTGGCCACCCGCACTCGCCACTGCTTTAGAAATCACCGGCCGTTGCATGTTGATGCTGCCCACGTGCATCAGCTGTTGCTGCTGCTGCTGCTGGTGCTGTGTTGTCACTAATAGGCGCGGCGGCGGCGGCTGTGTGTAGCCGACTGTTTGCCCCTTGCTGACAGATGCGATGAGCGGTGCATTCAGCTTGGTACCGCGGGCGTACACGATGTTAGGCGGTGCTGGCAGGACGCCGCGTTGCTGGGCTGACGACTGCGTCGTCGAAACAGGTGCAGCCCTCAGTGGTGGTGGAGGGGGAATGACACCGGCAACAGTTGTGATCACAGATGGCGAGGTAATCCCTGTCATGGCCTTGACAGAATAGTTGGAGAGGGTCCTCAGAGTATTCGACGCATCTTGGTTTCCCAGTTCTGTTCGCCAAGGTGACTTCACAGGCGACTTCAACTGTCCCACGTCATTCTTAGTCACCTGAAAATCGTCAAGAATTTTTTGTTGCATTCTGCTGGACTGCAAATAACAAGGCTTGAATTTCAGCGCAAATCCTGGAGATTAATTATCATGGGTTCCTGTGTATTTCTAATATTCACTCAAACTAAATCAGCGATGACTCATTAACTATATATTACGGACTCAGTGTGACCTATAATTCTCAGTCAGTACATGCATTTCACTGTTTAGTCATAGTTACTTTAAAATTCAAACTGAAATGCAGCATAAATTATGCAACAATTCTGGAATACAACCACGATGATATGCAAGACTTGTCACGGATTCAAGACTTACAGTACTGTACATAGTATGTTACATAGGGCATCACTACTTGTCAGTTCATGAATAAATAAACCTATATGTGTTAGACCTCAAGCAATTTGAGCCTTGGAACAGTAAGTATGAGATTGTAAAAAAATACCTGCTATGTGGTGTTAAATATACTTAATATGAATAAATGCTAAATACTAAGGATTACGATATGGTGTATGAACAGACTTGTCAACCAATTTCTCCTTACGTATCCTTTAATACTAATATTCAGATCTGTTAAAGTGAGGAATTCTCATGTTTTTACCAAGCGTTTTCATATTTTCTCAACCGTTCTGATACTTACAGGTAATCCTTGCATAACACCAAATGTATATAATAAGGCTAACATGTCATAGAATACTCGCACAACATTCTTTCCACCAATATGTGCACCGATCTGCATTTCAAATTAAATTGTTTACATGTCAACAAACCTAGCGCGTGATTTTTGCTCTCACGGGACCAGAACGCCATCTCTGCACTGGGTTAGTTAGCTTTGTATACATTTCGAGATAGGTACCAGGCTATATATATTTGCATAACTATGTGCACTTGTTTTGTGGGACCAGTTGAACACCCTATTATTGCGAATCTGAAAATAGCAGGTGCACGTTTGCTGCTCATCTGCTATTTTATACTTATAGCCTATAACAGCAGAAATTTCTGGTGATTGTTGTGCTGGAGTAATCAGTAAAAAGTCTGCTAATAGGTGAGACCAACTTTGTCTACACTTATGCCGTTTTCCAATTTATTCGAGAGATAGTCAGTTTAATATCTTTTTAAGTTTAAGTTTGTCTGCAATATCTTGCCAACATTAATTTTACATCAACTGGCAACGCAAATGTCTATTTGATGATTCAGTGCCCATGATCTCTCAAGGATTTTCGACAACGACTTATATCAATATTTCATATCACACATTTTGCAGTGCAATTCTTGTTAACTCGAGTTAACAAAATACAGACAATCTGCAACAGTTGGCAGGTCTGTATAAATAATGAATAGCTGTTGAGTGGTCATTGCAAAGAGCAAATATGCTTCTTACCATCCAGCTACTAGGTGGCATGCTCAACGCTCCAAGCATCTTCCCTTTCTCTGTTGATGATGGTAGTCCACTCCTCTTGACATTGTCAGCACATTTCTGCAGAATCACAGAATCACATGCAGAAACACCTGTAAATCTGTTCCAGTAAATGTCCCAATGCAAAATTTTGGCATGCATGCACTTGAAGCTAGCTTAGCCTATGCGCTTATCTATCATAATGCTCCTACCCCTCAGTGAATAATACACGACGTGCACAGGATATGTACAGTGGAACATACCAGGCAGACAAAAAGAGATTCGCGGGTGCTCCCAATAAAGCCAACACACATCGGATGATAAAGGCACAAACAGACACCGCAATGTAGCGTTGGCGGTACTCCCGCCTGTCCCGGGCAGTTGATTGAGCACATGACATCCGGGCGTGTCTCGATCCTACACAAAAGAACAAGACAGCATGCAATCAAGGAGAGATTTACTTAGAATCACATTGTTCACATTACCAGAAGCTACTGTCAGCAAGTGTCTTGAAACTTCAGTCTGATAGAATTAAACAATTATAGAAAAATGGAAAAGGATGTTACTGGTAAACTACACAAGCATGCACACTAACACTCACAAATATATATGCAGGCCTGACGGATAATAACATGTGTGCACATGAATTCTCTCAAGTTGAACAGAGAAGCGATGTAACATAATTGCTCACGATTCCCCATGTATTTAGAGAATATACAGGCTATATTAGGTTACTATCGTTGTCGAACCTACCTGATAGCATTTGGCTGTGACACCAGGGAATTCACATTTGATCGTGGAAATGATTTCACAGCTTTCTGAGTCTTTAGCGATGGGACGGTAGCCCTCCAGCCAGGGGTGCCCACCGCTTGAGATCTGGCAAAGTTTCCTATTGATGTGCTGACCTGGGAGAGGGTGGCACCTGACTTGGGTTGTGTAACAGGGATGGGTTTCACACTGGTTGGCTTGGTTTTTGTGCTGTGCTTTGTGGAATAGCCTGGGTAGGTGTCCGGATCCAATTTCTTCTTCTTGCGCACTCTGGCTGCATCCAGCTAGTATGATAGACAAGACCCGATAGGTAAGACATGGTAGTTAAACAGCTGTATATATATATTCACACATATATTGACACACATACATAGAAGTGAATCTGTCGTTCAGAGAAGCACTGTGTTTAAAATAAAGTTTTAGACCGAAAAACCGACACGTGTTAAATATTCTTGATCCCATATGAAGCCCTGAATCCCATATAATTTAGCGAATCTAGTTGAGTATGAAATGGGTTCTCTGTTCAAACCAGCATGAATGCTTGCCAGTAATTACCATAGATTTGTGCTGCTGCACCTGTGCTGGGTTGGCACGTTTCTGTGCCTTCGCAAACCTTTCGATCTCATTGGGGTCTCCAACCAAGTACTTGCCAAATGAGAAGTTCTCCAATGTTAGGGCATCCACCTTATGCGCTGTCACTAGTTATAGACAGGTCAATAGATTATAATAAGAATAATGGAATAGCTATTAAAGGGTTTATTGCGAAATCATTGCGACCCATTGCATTGCGGTGAATTTGCAAATAGCACCTTAGTTTACCAATAAGTTACAAGTGCACCCATAGTGCACCTAATTCAAACAAAAGGGCATCTGATTCTTTGTAGCTTACTCCGTTTCTAATTTGGCCTATTGAAATTGGCCTATAGCTCGCGCCGATCAATCAAAACTCGAATTGTGCATGTTTTGGTGAATATAGTGAAGTACGAAGGTTCTAAGACATGTTAGCGTTACTCTAGACCAGTGGTGGGCAAACTTTTCAAAGCGAGGGCCGCATCCGTGGGCCATGAAAAGTCAAAGGGCCGCACCTTTTAAAATCGGGCGGTGCGCTCTAAGATAATACGTGCGTTTCGCCTCAAGGGCACCATCTCTGGACCATAATTAGCTGAAATGGCGTTGCAGAGTGAACCAGAGACAATAGAACACTAATCTGTATGACTCTGAAAAAGTCAGCCTTGGTTCAAGCACAAACATGTCGACTTTCAAAAAAATTTATTGACTTAAAAAATTTTATTTTTATTTATATTTTTTTATTTGCTGCAGGCTTCCGCGGGCCGCACAGAACCCCGTAGAGGGCCGCATGCGGCCCGCGGGCTGCAGTTTGCCCACCCCTGCTCTAGACAGTGGCTGTTACTCAAGAAATAACAGCAAGTGTCGTAAAAGTGGGGAAAACACGAGACTGGTTGGAAATTATGTTTGTAATCCTGGCTTTAAATAATTTTCATAAAATTATATAATTATAATAACGTGAAAATAATGCCAAATTTACAAGCAGTATGATTTATACAAGTTTATAAATGATAGCTTATTACTAGAATGCAGTTTTAAATTCAGGGAAAAACAGGTTGAAAAACAGTAATGTTCAGGTAAAATTAATCTAATGTACAAGCATATATGCAGCCAATGTATTTCAAATGAATGGTTAGATATGCCATGCATATAACTTGCACATATGTGATGTAATATGTGAATAATATGTGATGTGAATATACTTACGGTATTCCTGGATAGCCGGTCCTGACCGCTAGAATAAAAATGTGAGAATAATTCAAATAAAATGAAATTCAATCTGCTAGAGTTATGTAATACCTATTAGTATTACAATAGCTAATTTCATAATTTTTCTAGCTTACATATTTCAACACATTAGGCAAGCTGTAAAAAGAAATGCAGTCTCTCAGTAAACAAACAAGTTTGACGTGACAAAGTTCAGTTGAGATACGACTACGTGTAGAAGATATTTGTCATAATAATGGACTGTGAGTTTATACACAATTTATTTACTGTAACAGGGCACGAATTTCACCACTGCACTTCTGAATTCAAGGGCTGTGATTGACCTCCTTACTTGCCGTAGTGACCCTGAAAATGGGCCGCTATCCACGACAAAAAAACCTTTGTAGCTGCACTACGTGGTCTGTACTATACGTGCTGTGATAAAGCAAGAGGCCTTGATAATCATTCTTTGAAGGAACTAATTGCATTGGTGCCCCTTCAGTGTGAGATTTCTGATTAAACTAAAGGACACACTTGCCATGCCCTAAAATGGAATTCAACCCCCTGATTCAAGCATATAATAATCCAGCCAACTAGAGGGATTTTTCCTGGGGTATCAATAGGGACTTTTAGGATCATAGATTCCAAAGTTTCCCAGCCAATGTCTTCCAGAAGTGATATTCAGAGATGCAAAAAAAAACTACATGATAACAGGATCCTACACTACTAAAAAGAGGTACTACCTACTGACAAACAGTAACACAAAACTGATTTGAACTGTTACTACTCCAGGACATTGCATCAAGGCTGTGCATCATGCTTTTCCTACCCACCCAAGTCCACAGAGAAATGTTTGACCACCTGTGCAGCCACTGATATTTTTAAGCTGTGAAATTTCTCATTTGCTGTCACTCCATTTCGACAGAGCAATCGGGTGATGGCAATCAAGAAACATTCTACGAGTAAACCTACGAGTTTCTGTCCTAAAGGAGTGAAGTAGTACACATCGGCAGCTCTCCTGGCCAGCAGTTCGCGTGCCTTCTCCTTGCTCTCTGCCGTGACCGTCTGCCTGTACACGATCTCTCGCGACCAGCCTAGCCAGGTGCGCAGAATTCATAAAAGCTATTAGATGTAATCTCACCAACATAGCAACATAGAACTAAATAAACTGCATTGCTCACACACAGGCTATCATACAGAAATGAAGCTCTAACAATGACAGAATAATGATTTATAATGTGATCGGTTAAGACAATCATGCCAACCATCAATAGCTTTTGCAGGAAGGGTAAAGACGGGTGGAAATTCTTTTATAAGTAGAACTCATTAGTGTATCATAGAGCAATTTGGACACCAACACGATTCTTTTAAACTGAATGGATTCAAGATATCAAATACAACTGGTTTGGAAACTTTTGAATATGTTCATCACAAATATAGGGAATGCAACCTCTGTAACTTGGCAAAAGCTAGAACCACACTCTAATAACGGTTGACACTTGGCATCTGTATGTATGTGGCAATGAATGATTTCTCGGCCGAGCACAAGTAAATTTACCTGTGCTCAACTGGGAAATCATACATACATAAGGGTTGTTATATTCAATGCTAATTTCATAGTTGTAGAAATGAATATATATAAATACTTAAGGTCACTACAGTATCATTTTAATGGTGCCCAGATGCTTTTTTAAAGATATCTATCAATTAATGCTCAATCATTGTAAAAGCAATGCTTTGAAATTATTTAACATTTAATCATTAATGAGCATTACGTTTTATTTGTATACAAGGTGAGTTTAACTAGAAATTGTCAATATTTAGTCTGTTTTTGGTTAGGAGTATACTAACACAAATGTGACAAATGTGTTTTTAATGCTTAGATAGATCTATTTCGCTTCATTTTTTTTTAATGAAATGTGGGTCAGTGGCATTCCTTCTAGCCACACATGCACATCACTGATACCACCCCAAACAGGCAAACTCTTCACCAAACTGCAACGTATACACGCAAACATATCTAAGGTATTACACGCGTGCACCCGCACACCTACCATGCGCGAAGGGAGCTTTCAAGATGACTCGCTCTTCATCAGTGAGATGTGACCTTGACCGCTTCGACATGTGAGTCCTTCCCTCGCGTCCTTTTGGCTTCTGCACACCACCCTCTTCTGACAGCGGCGACAGTGTAGCGCTGGCACTACCAGCCGGGCTGATGCTTGTTGTCGTGGCTGGACTCGCAGTGTCACTACGCGCTGACGACGGGAAAGACTTCCGAGCTATAAACAAGAATGCAACGATGTTACAGGTGCAACGTGTTGTTCAGTTTTTAGTGCCTGAATTTCGTCTAGAAATCCCTGCACCCGGTGTCTGATGATTGTTCTGCACAGGAAATGTACACTGTATTATATATTATATATATATATATATATATACATACAAGAGCTTATAATAAGGTATTATACGCTCTTGATATATAAAAATGATGAAGCAGATCACACGAGTTGTTCAGACAGTACTAATACTATATATAGCAAGCGATAATGGTCATGTACTTAAAGGTGAAACCCGCGATCGGTGACAGTTCTCTTCATGCGCAGGGTAGACGACACACCCAGGTGACGTACTTGGTACGCCCTATACGCAAACCCACACTCCTGGTAGAAAATCTAACATAATGTGTGCGTTGTATTTGTTGTAAGTTGTTACAGTACATATGTGTGTTAGTGACTGTACTTTTGCTTGGAACGTTCACTAAGTGTGTGAATAGTCATTATGTATGGTCATGTAATAATGCATAGTAAGTATTTAAGGTCAAATGCCTAAACTACATTTAAACTACCATAATATGGAAAGTTCTAACTCATAACATTCTGACAGACCAGTGATATAGATCCTATCTGTCCAGAAGATCAAGCACTTGTTGGTCTCTACGAGAGGAAATCATATCAGTATCAATCATGTCAAGCATAATGAAACAAATGGTGCATTTATATGATGTAATATAGATGTATACCAAATCATAGCGCTTGGATAAGTAACATTAGTACCAATATTACTGATGAGTATTGTCACGACATTGTAGTGCTGCTGTGTCATGTAAGCTAAGTCGACATCCCCATTCCCTCATTCATGTAATCAACGTTTTCATATTGGAATCGAGGGCATATGTTGTGGGGTGTGGAATATACTCCCCCTGCATTGACGCATTACATACGGCCTATAACGTATCAAACATTCTACAGTAACCTGAATATTGAGTGTTCACACAAGTCACAGGCTCCATCGCAGTCACAGCCACTGATCGGCACTCCTCATAACAAACCTGCCCACTACACTACTCTCTCTAACTTTCTGTCCTGACAGCGCCCGTACAGGAGTACCGGTATCAATGCCCCTTCGAGAGCACGCTCACTCGTTGTCATCGCTGGCAGTCACGTTGAGGTCATCTCTTGTTCTTGCTCGACAGGCGTCGCCTCATTTCCAGTAGCTCGAGGCGTCGCGTCCTGGATGTTGTCAACCCGACGGGCTTGTCGATTTAAACCGCGCACTGACTGCTTCATCCGATTTTTAACGCTGCCTCATTGTCATTAATCATCCTCGTATTTTCCTCAGCTAGGTGTTGCCCGCGCCCGCGTCCACGCAGCGCATCACGTTGCCATGAAGTGGTCGGTGACTGTGACAGGTGTGGTCAGCACCGGCGCCTATCGGTCGACCATGCTTGACGGCGGATGCATTGATGCTGGGTGCTGCTGTTGGTGTGGCACATTTCTGGTCACATCCGTGGCGAATGTCGCTATCACCATCGCCATCAGTTGCATCTGCTTCTGCAGTCGTGACGTTGCCCTCGCTCTCACGCATGCGTTACCCACGCTCTGTTCATTGTCTGCTGTATGACAGCCAATTGGCTTGTCAACTTCCATTTCAGGCCGGTCATGTGTTCCTCACAGAATGACACATGGATACTTCAAACCTCGTTATGCTGCAAAAGATCGCAATTCTATTAACCATGACATACATTGGCTGTGTCCACAATGAAAATTTTGGTCAACAAAATGAATGACAATGCAATGGGATTAGCCGCTAGAACAGTTGCCGCCTGGAGGCAGCACATCTGTAGCGGTGCAAGATTATCCGGCGTACCTGGATGCACACCCCTGGACACAACTGTGGCAACATAGGACAAACTTACCGTACACGCCTCTAAAGTAAATCTTTATGTAAGAGGAGCGTCGACAAGAGGCGTTGCCAAGAAGACTTGATACAAAGGTAAGAACTATGTTCCAAGAAATACATTATCTTTATGATGATATGCACAATTTTGGTCAGAATCGGCGTTGTGAAATCTCGGGCAGATGAACGCTTTTAGAAGTGGCTTGTAAACACTGTCTTGCGAATGCATTTTCCTACCTGTATTCTAGATGTATGGTTAAGAATTTCTTCGCATTATTTGGTCGTAGATTTTAGTAATTTCTTTAAAACGGACGTTTGAGACCCTGCTTCGATGTTCAAGCTTGTTTAAAAGTTGCTCTATAAATATATATAGAGTATAATAGACAGAGAAAGAGAGAGAGAGAAAGATGGTAATAATTAATATAGGCTTAGGCCACATGCTACAAGTCAATTCAACCTTGTGGCAAGCAAGCAGGCTATAGTACTAAAGTAGTTTAAAAGGTACGGTCGATGTTGCATTTGACTCTTGAGATTCAAGCTGAATTTTAATTTATTTATTTACTTTTCAACAGACTGGAAGCATATGACCAGCGTTCGAAATTAGTGCCGACCCGGAGGCCCGAAGCCACAAGTTTTTGCTACGGGCAACCGATCTCTACGAAACTGCGGTTCTCCTGACCAGCACTTTTTCCCACTGCATATTACGCTGAAATACTACGGTTATCGCCATGGCAGTTTAAACAGACTTGTAAATGGGAGCGTATTCTAATAATGCCGCTCCGTTCCTGAACGTAGATCTATGGGGTATCCAAAACATCTAGAGCCGAGGGCGATGAACTCCTCAATGCATGAATCGCCACACGAACAAAACCTCGCGACACTCTAAAATCGATTGCGGCATGTTAGCGTAGCTCATAAGGTCCTATGTCCCCAGGACTGCTGAAACGGAACCTGGTACGGTCCGGTATACCCGGAACGTACCCTGGTCACTATTTTATATGGTATAGGGTTAGGATTAGGGTTAGGTTAGGGTTAGGGTTAGGTTAGGGTTAGGGAATAGGCATAGGCGACTCCCTAGACCTGTTAGTAGAGTAGGCGAGGTATCGGTCGGCATATTAGATAGTACCAGGGTGACGTTCCGGTATACCGGACCGACCCAGGGTACGTTCCGGCAGTACCACGGGGACATAGACCTCTCAGCTGTAGCGTAGCCCAGTGACAGTGTATTTTATAAACGCATAATAATAGCTTAGGAGATAAGTTCATTATGTCGCCAGAGGTTATCGTGGAGAGTGAGGGCACTGCGAATAAAGCCGTGAATTGAATTGACTAGCATACATAATGTTCAGAAATACCAACTCTAGAGCAACTAAAGTGTCTAGCGGATCGCGCCGAAATATACGTATTTAACTAACCACATCCTTCGGCATAATAACACTGTAAGTTCACTAAATTCGAATAAGACGGCAAATTAGCGATTTCATTTTTAATATATTAGTGCATTATGAGTGTGTATATTACTGGAGACGCTCGTGAACGACCCTATACAACAGTTCCGTAAAGTCTGGCTCAGCGTCGCCCTACGACCCGTCTTAATTTATCGGCGCTATGTGACATCGTCAAACAAGTGCCGCATACGACAGCGCGCTCATCTAACGTTCTACTGCGGTGCACTCTCGTGGTGGAGTTGCTGGGATTCTAGTAAACGCCTGTTAGTCCCAAATGTGGGGGGTTCACATAAACACGCGAACACTGTAGTGGACAATGCACAGAGATAGGTATTCAGGATCACCTTCTCAAAAGATGTTCGTGGGATCGTTATGAAAGTTGCAACGAGATGCGCGTGTACGTTTAAAGTGGTCTTCAAGATTAAAAGATGAGTCCCATCATTCGTAGTAGCAAACAACTATTGCAAGACAGAATCTAGGTAAGCACTCAGTCACTTACCTACGGCAAGCCATACAGGGCTCGCCAAATTGCGCATATAGAGAGCTGCCACCTGTAACAATTTAATCAGGCAAAGACTCCCAACACGATGGCACACAGCACTACGGCAGTGCGATACGTGCTGACATGTAACACTACTGACAGTAACAGAAAGACATAGAAATTATACGATTTAAGATATACACGCTTCTTAACCAAATTTAGGCTTTTTGAAAATTTCACTGTGACATGTCAGGCCTCATACATCCAGGCATGTATAGATTCTACTAGGCAAACCTCGGCAAGTCGAAAATTCTTTCTACAGACAGTCAACAAATCGCATGTTTAACCCTCTCTAGGTAGGGGGAGGGGAGAGGGGGTAGGCGGTATGGTCGTGGGGGAAAGGGGTATGAGGGGAGGGGTGTGTGGGGAGGGGAAAGGAGGGTGAAGGCGTGGGCTCTAATAGGCAAAAGCATGTTCACTCTTTGTTAACAGTCAACAAATCCATGTTTAACCCTCCCTCTTGAGGGTCAACAAAGCGTTTATCCGACACTTCTACGTCTTCGCATGTCAGGCGAAGGGACATTTCATGCCTCCTTCATAAAGCCATAACAATGCCTAGGTCACTCTGCTGCAACCAAAAAAGTTTTCCAATGCGGCTCCGTCAGATCACATGTCCTCAAAGAAAAGTGTCTAAAATCGGCCCTGTCCCCATATGCCCTTTGGACGCTGTTGACCGTCCATCATTTAGGCACACAGTGATGGTTTTTCTCAGCCATGATGCTACTAACACGCGACTATCAACGAGCCCTAGGTTCGAGCGTTTAGATTTGCTGCCGCAATTAGCATTTCAATTTCCTCCCTATACCTTAAGTTAAGAGGAATGTTCCCCCTTTTCTTATCACCCTCTTTGACCTTTTGACCTTTGACCCAGCTTCGACATCCCAACTCGTTTGACGATCCCCCCGAGTTGCCGAATACCGTGACCGCTACGTCGAGCGCGTTAAGATTTGTGCCCAACTGTTTGACCCCGGACGACGCACGCGCACGGCGGACGGACGATCAAGCGATTCTACAAGCCTGCATCTGACTATGTCAGCATGAGGCTAATAAAACTCATGCGATTTGAGGTGATATTTGGGCTGACATTGCCGAATCCAGTATTCTTATAGGCACCGAC